ATGATTTAAAATCTGGCTGTTCAGACCAGGTCATAACTCCAGTTGTCTGCGCATGCACCTCTGCCACTAGCTTGCCACTATTACACATTACTAACTTTGTGTCTCCTTTCTCCCGTAGTGTGTCCTCTCTCTCTCTCCCTGTACCTTTCTGCAGGTTGCCCTGGCCCTGGAGCTCTATGTCTCTGACGAGCAGTCACCGGCCACATCGACCTGATCAGTGTTTGATTGTTGTGTCTTGTTGCTTTTCTTCTTTTGTCTCTCCTCTATCCACTCACCCCAACCGGTCGAGGCAGAAGGCCGCCCACCAAGAGCCGGGGTCTGTCAGAGGTTTCTTTCGTTAAAGGGAGTTTTTCCTCCCCACTGTCGCCAAGTGCTTGCTCAAGGGGGATTTGTTGGGTTTTCCCTATGTAATAATATTGATAACAGTAAGGTCTAGACCTTACTTTGTAAAGTGTCCTGAGATGACTTTTGTTGTGATTTGGCGCTATACAAATAAAATTTGATTTGATTTGATTTGATTTCCCCACCCTCACAGTGTGGCACCATCGACTCTGGCTCCTATGTGAACCTGACTGAAAGAAACCTACAGGATGCTCAAAAGTTTTTGCTGATGCATGAGGTGGTCCAACCTGTGGTTCCTGTGCCCTACTTCATGGAGGACAATGTGCGCTTCACTCATGTGGCAGTGGATGTGGTGCAGGGGAAAGACACGTTGTTTCACATCATATACTTGGCTACTGGTAGGTTCCTAACACTGTGTGTGGGCTTGTGTTTGACTCTTTTTCAGCATTTGCTATACATGTTTTTAAAACTGGTCTGTTTTCATGCATGTACAATATTTGCGTCTACATACCCTATTGTACATATTATTGAATTTTTCTGCCATTTATATGTTTTTAGATGCTTGCATGTGAAAGCTATGAGGTGTTTTTTGTCCTCTTAAAGACCATGAAAGAATGTTCTTTCAGTCAGCTTCTTAACATGAGTGATTGGGTCTATTTAAATGAATTTTCTGCCAAAGTTAGGACAATCTCAGGTATTTCATGAGAGAAATGTTTCTGTTTTTGCTTTATTTTGTCTGCTATCATGGGTTTGTAGTGGGCAGTTTGAAAAAGTTGGTGTCACAGACTTTGTGCAGTGGGTAGAACTCATCTCCCAACCGGAAAGGTTGAAGGTTCGAATCTTGGTGCCTACAGTCCACATGTTTAAGTGTCCTTGGCCAAGACACTGAACTCCCAAGTTGCCCATGATGGCACCATGTATGCATGCAGCAGCCCGGGGCCCTCAGTTCCAAACAAAATTTCATTGTACGTGTCACAATAAAATAAAGCTTCTTCTTAAAATAGCACTGTTTTCAGTGTTAAATTTGAAGTGAGGTCTCCCTCAAGAAGAGGACAAAAACCAATATTTCTGTCAAAGCTTAGTCTTATGACACCAGCTTGATCACTCTTTACCTCCTGATAGACACACATCACACCACATTGTAGTACTTCACACAGACAGGCAATGAATAACACACATACATACCGTGCACATGGCTCTGATTTAGCCCTTTCTGAACTGCATGGCTCTGCCTGCTTATCGGGACGCTGTTTGATCATACTGGTATGACAATATGTGATAAAGCGCTGGAAACTATATCAGTAACACACTGGTGTCTGTTCTGTATCATGATATACACTAACATGCAGTATGGATTATGAATGGGAGTGCAAAACAGGATTTGAAAGTAGTGACCCACTTCACTGTGCTAATGCACCACAGGCCCACTGGGAAATGTCAACATGAGCTTCCTGTTGTAGCGTCAGTGTTATTTAGGATATCTCACATGCAGTACAAGCACACACACCCACACACACCGTCAGCCTGTTCCAGTTCACTGCCCCCATGCTTGGCATCTCCCTCAAAAGCTCCCCTCTCATTGTTTGCATGGTGTTATGATCAATGTACTGTCAAACCAGAGCTGCCCACACAAGAAAGATAAGTTCTCTAGACACTAACGGGGCGTTAATGAAAACGTATGAAACACTGCCAAGGCCATTGGGTAGTGCACATAAGGTGCCTAATCACATGCTCTTATTAACACTTAGTAAATACATTCAGTTGATTGAGGCCAATGTGATGAACTCAATAGCTCCTATTTGGAAAATAAAAGGGGGGAAATATATATAAAAAGGCACAATGACAGAGAAATAAATAGAGATAAGTCAAGAAATACAAAAATTATTTTTATTATAATTATTATTATTACAGTCCCTACCCTTAACTTGCACATCCTGGAGCAGTCTGAACACAGAGATTAACATTATTGTGCTAGTGCCCAACATTGCTTAAAGCAATACTTAACTTTTACATTCCCTATATTAAAACTATTAGTAATTCACTCTTCTGGCATCTCCATGCTCATAATTACTTTTCCTTCACCCAAGGGATTGCATCTGTAATAGACTATTTGTTGTTGCTCTCCCCTAACTTTGTCTCTATCATTATTACAAGATAAAGGTCAAGATATATTCACAATGACATGGATTTCCACATTCTTTTATGTCAGAAATATGAAGTGGTTTCTTCTGCTTGAATATTTCCTTAAAGAAAAGTGGGGTGGAAATCATGCATTCAGGTGCCATACCGGTCCCCTGTTTGCATCTACAGCACTGCATGTTGATGGCATACCCAATCTTGGCACACCCGCCATCACCAGTCTGTCTTTTTGACAGCCTTATTTCAGGACCTCTCTGTTAGGAAGTGATTGTTGTGTGGTTCATATTAAATTCAGATTAGCTTCTGTGCATTTTTGCTCATTCGAGGTATAGTTGTGTTTTTTCCTCTTCAAACTTTACAACCCTTGCTACTACTTTACCTTTTCTCATGCAAACAACCTCCCTCCTTCCTCATTGTGATGAAATCCTCTCTTCCTCCCTCTCTCTCCCAGATTATGGTACTATCAGAAAAGTGCTTTCCCCACTCAATCTGTCCATGGGGAGCTGTCTGTTGGAGGAGATCGAGCTGTTTCCACCCAGGAAGAGGCAGCCGATCCGAAGCCTGCTGATCCTCCACAGCCGTAGTGAGCTTTATGTGGGTGTAAGAGACCAGGTCATCAAGATCCCACTGAAGAGATGCAGCTACCACAAGAGCAGAGAGTGAGTACATGCACACAAAACACCATTAATCTCATTGGAAACTGTCAAAAGCAAATGTGCACACAGCAAAGTTTTAAAGCTCCAAATTTCATAACATGCTCTTTATCTGAGACAGACAGGCCTGTGTGTTGGTCAGGGGCCTTTGCTAAGATTTAAAACCCTGTAAATCAGCTTTTGTCTGGGCCACTGGAGGCGCACACTGGTGCCCTCTGTGAATCTGTCTCACTGTCCTCTTGTCACTGTCATTGACCTGCGCACAGAACCATGTGCTTTCTGCCTTGCGCACAGTTCTGCTGGCAGCTGTGCCCATGTTTATCAGATATATTGCATTTCTGTCTGTGTGGAAGATGCTCTGTCAAAGGATAAATACTGGGGTGTGAAGACTCAGCACAGGATTGGGATCCCATCCATCATCACATTCAGAAAAGAAACACACCTGTATTCTTTATTTCTTGCCCAATGAGCTGTTATTAGAATACACAGAAGAGTTAAGGCTTCATATTACAGCTGTGGCTCTACAATATACAGTATGCTGCAGCACCTCTTTCATGTATTTCTTTAAGACAGGGCAAGAAAGTCCAAAAAAACAGATGAAAGGAATAAAACAAGGCACATGGACTGACAGTACGGAGCATTACTGAGTTCATCACGGGCACTTCTTTGACGTTTTACCTCTTTGAAATATTAGAAGGCTGCCTGTCTTTGTTTGGTTGAGTAGCTCACTGATGGGTGGTGTACAATCTGCAAGGCCCTTAAGGCCTCTTGAAAGACAGGTATTAGCTTATTCATTCTCCCTTTCATTTTGTACTACTGTTGTCACCTCTGATATGCCTTTACATACACATACAGACTATAGCTCTGTGCATTCTATTTGCCACACAGATGCTGCATCAGGCGCTTTGTGTTTGCTTTTCTACATTTTCATATGGATGGATGCATATGATCTTGCGTCCTTGTATAAGAGCACTTGTGTTTGTGTCTGAACACACTTTATATGAAACCCACAGTCAACTTTAGTTTCATTTCACTAGGGACATGTCAGGCTGCATTTATGCCTGTGCCTCAAAGATATGTCATTGTGCTGTCACTGCAGACCCATATTTGCATAAAAAGAGTAACACCAGGTTTTTATTACACTCAATACACCACCTAAGTTTGATCTGACTATCTCTACAGCGTCATCACAGTGAATATTTGTTGGACTGATAAGCTATTTGAGTCAGATGTGTATATGTATGTATGCAAACACAAGATATAATCCCGGTGCTTCACCAGAGATTACTGGAAAAATCTATCAGCACATTGTGTTAAGATATAATTTTAGGATTCTGATGCAGTGTTAGCATTGTAGAGTATCCCAGTGCTCTACATTCATAAATAAATAGAATTTACATTTTTGTCCTGTCTTTCTTATCTCTTCACTAGCTTCTCTCCTTTCTTTTTCTCTGCCTCAATACCTCTTGCTTTCCCCTTCTCTTCTCTCTGCCACTTAATCTTTTAGCTTTATCCACAATCTGTCTCTTCAACCTGATGTTTGATCTTATGTCCTGCCATGATGCTGAGCCACATGACAAGAAAATAAAAGCCCCTTAAAAGTGAATGTTATTCTCTCCTTTCAGAGCATGTGTCGGGGCCAGGGACCCATACTGTGGTTGGGATCTATTGTTGAAGAAATGCACCACCCTGGAGGAAAGTGTCAGAATGAGCCAATGGGAGCAGAGCATCACCAAATGCCCTGTGAGTATTACAGTGCTGTTCGCTGATGTGTAATTCAACTATCTCTACCAGGCCTCCATACTCACTCTCTTCTCCATACGAATTTATTACTCACATTAATCCATGCTCCTCTCCTCTGAAAGCTACAGCCTGCTCTGTATTCTCTCCATAAACTCACAACTTACAAGCAACAGCCCCTAAACCCAGCCTGAGAAATATCCTCACCAGAGAGAGGCCTCTTGGGACAGAACAGCTTGACTTTAAGGGAGCGGCATGTACCTCGGGAATGATCAAGAGCACTGCCTCAATCATTCACCTCTGACTGCTTGTTCATTAGCAAAACAGCTCTTCCATTTATTTTAACGTGCACCAAATTTGGGAGCAGTATTAGGAGGCGGTAAGCCTTTCAATTTCACTATGGCTCTGCTTTTCACAGACAATTTTCAGGCCAGTCACAGCAAAGAGTGCTGTGTGCCTTCGTACTCTTTTATGTGGCTTCATGCTCAGAAAGATATTTGGCACTCATACTACAGTGCACCCAGGGGCATCAGTCAGCAGAGCTCAGGCAGAAACTTGGCCAACCCTGCATCCACATATGCATTCAGACATATACAAGGACAGATGCATATCCATCCATTATTTATTCCACTTATCCATTAGAGAGTCGATCCCAGCTGTCATGGGGCGAAAGGTGAGGTACACTCTGGACAGGTCATCAGTCTATCACAGGGCTGACACACAGAGAGACAACCATTCACATTCACACCTATGATCTATTTAGAGTCACCAGTAAACCTGACCTGCATGTCTGTGGATTGTGGGAGGAAGCTGGAGTAGCCAGAGAGAACCCAATCAAGCACAGGGAGAGCATGCAAACTCCACACAGAAAGGCCCCAGTCAGCCACAAGGTTTGAGCCCAGAACTTTCTTGCTGTGAGGCAGCAGTGTTAACCACTACAATTTTTCTTTTGCTGTAAATAATTTCAGTAGTCAAAAGTTTGTCAAACACAGTTTTACTTTCACTAAAGTTATTTCAACCTGAAACTAGTCAGGTTAGCTTTACTGCTTATAATACATAATATAAAGAATAGTTGAATGAGAACATCAGCCATTTGGGAAATTTGAAGTTGGAGCCATGAGATGATTAGCTTAACTTAGCTTAGCTTAGCATAGAGACTGGAAAAGAGGAATGAAAACGCCTAGTTCTGCCAAAAAAAAAAATCAAATTATCAGCCATTCCAGTTAGCAGGTTCTGTAGGTGGATTTTTTTTTTTTTTTTTTTTTACCTTTGGAGAGAACTAAGCTCACTGTTTACCTCTGTTTCCAATCTTAATTCTAAACTGTCTCCTGGCTCCAGCATCACATTTAATTGACAGTGGTGTCAATCTTCTCGTCGACCTTTTCATCTCAACTCTCAGCAAAAAGCAAATAAATGCACTTCCCAAAATGTCAGACTATTACTTTAATCCCTTGGGGGTCCAAGAGCTCCAACTTAACTGTCGTAGGGTTAGCAATAAGAAAACCAAACAAAATGAAGCTTCAGACCTGTGCAATAATATTGTAGGCATGCATTAGCTTTAAAGGGTTTTGGTTTTATAAACAGTTTAAATAGAGCATATAAATACAGACAGTAATGCACATATTCATAACATGATCAGCAAGTTAAATGTCGTATCTTATTAAGCATATCCATGATTCCAGCAGCAGTGTTGCCATTAATCCTTTAGTTTTGATGTACCACTCCCTGTACCACTGATGAAATAAATACGTATTTACTCACTTAACCTTGGTCTAACCAGGTCCAATCTATTTAGAGTGAGTATGAATTAACTTTGTATGGTGACAGAGAGAAATGGTCCTACAATATGGGTTCTGAAACCCGACCAGAATGGGAAAACTGTCTTTGTGCAACAGTTCAATGCTAAGATGTAGAAACCAACAAAAACAAGCTGCTTTATTTTTATCACACTAATAGGTTCACTCCCTATGAATTAATGAACTGGCAAAACATCTGCTCGGTTGCTTTCTCCTGCAAAGTCAAAGTCTGAAGTTGGAACCCAGTCAAGGGTTTGCAGACACAACTGTGTGGTTTAGGCAGGGGCAGGAGGGACACTTTACCATTTTGCTCACAAATTGACAAATGTGGAACCACAGACTCGCATCTGTATGGAGACAAGCAAAACTTAGTATCTCTGTGTATTTAAGGAGAGTACAAGGCTTAGTTATCTATCACGTAGTTCCTGGTGTCCTTTCTATTCTCAACTTTTAATGAAAGAAATTACACAAGTACTTGTCTCACCTTTAAAAAGCTTTTTTATGTGTTTATTGTCCTTTCATACTTATTTTTAGTAACAAATATGCAGCGTAATGGATGATGTTATTTACATGTGACATTTTAAATCATTTATAATCTCTCAACTATACAGGATTGTATAATATAAATGAAGGTTTTCTTTGCATTTTTAAATCACCCTGAAATGTGTGGCTGATATCATCTGCAGCCCTGAATGTCACACTGATGCTTTGTATTTAATTCATATCACAGGACATCATTTGTAATTTGAAGCTCTTATAATATCAGAGCCTTTCTGTTTCATATATCTACAATATTTATGCAGCCACCTTTATTTCCTCCTATTTTTTCTCCTTTCAGTGTGTCCATTCACAGCTTTCATTTGCCTTTCTGAATTTCTCTTTTTGCTACGCTGGAATCTCATCATATCCTCTTATAAAAATTCCCTATGACAAAATCATCCATGTGTTTACAGCCCATTTTTGTCCCTGTAACTGCACAATTTTGCATGTGATATAGATGATATTATTTTAGGTTACTTTTTCATCTATTTGAGGAAAATTGATTTCTGTTTGCTATGGCTGTGGGCTGCATTTCCCAGAGCAGCACATTCCTGGGAGCATCAGGCTAATGCAGGACTGGTTTCTGAGAAAAGCCATTACTCTCAAATGTTATTTATTTATTTATTTATTTGCCCTTTTTGTTCCTAACAGGTCCGTAATGTGACAGTCGATGGAGGCTTTGGCGCTTGGACAGGCTGGGCCACATGTAGCCATAATGATGGCGGCAGTACGGGGTCTTGTCTGTGTCGGACACGAGCCTGCGATAACCCCACTCCTCAGTGTGGTGGCCAGCAGTGTCATGGGATCAGTGTGGAGGTCGCCAACTGCTCAAGGTAAATCCTCAACTCCCTGCATCTGCAGTCATCAGATGCCTGTAGGAAACGTTTCCATGCTGCATATTCAGTATCAGTTATTTTTAGCTGACAGGTGCTGATTGCGTATTGTGTTTTTCCACACTCTCAGCTGACATTGCTGATTTTAACACTCTCAAAGTTAAAATTAACTGACATGCTGCTGTGCTGTTTTATGGCTACTGCCAAGAATAGGCATAAATGTCTGAAAGTAATGATATATGGTTACCACAGATTACCAGATTAAAATCAAAGGTGCATTTTGTACAGTGGGCTCTACTCTCCTGCCAGTGCAAAGCAGGGACTTGCCCATATTTTGCAATGTTTTACAAATTTGGTGACCATCGGCACTGGTGCATTTTGGGCATGACCAGGCATAATGTGGAAGAGAGGTAGAATACATTGTGAGAGGAAGGAATGCATCATGAGCAGGTGGAGATGGCGCTGGCTTTAATTATAGCCAGTCAAACCAGCTCCTCTCATTCCCTTTAAAGGCATTACAGATACCTGACTAACCCTAACCCAATTGATGTCATTGTTATCAGGACATGGAATAGTTGAGATGAAAGATTCTTTCACTATATCGTCTTCCCCTACCAATTACTGTATGTGTTCCAGTCCTAAACTGTGATGACAAAAATGTTTACTGTAGAAGTATTGCACATAAATATTCATTCAGTAGTCTGCTAATATGACTCTGCAGAGTCATGTGCATGAAAGAAAGAAAGGTTGGTCATGTAACCAGCAGCAGTATAATGTAATTTACTCACAGATGTACTGTGCAAAATACAGTGCATGAACATATTATGGATTTAGAATTAGAGCAGTGTTTATTCTTCATTAATACTACGTTTGCCATAAAGTTTGGGCTTAAATGCATACATTCAGTTTTCATGTTCAGTACCTTGAGGCTTTGCCCTTCCTTGGTGCAACCACATTAAGGAAAGGAGTTTCAGCCAGTGCCTTTAGAGTCATTTTACTCTAACAGAGGAATATGGCAGAAGAAAGACCATTATATTCTTTGACTATGACTATTACTTCAGTGTAGTTATATGCTCTTAATTAGTCTAATTTACACCCTCAAATTCTGAAAAACATGTCTCATCATCCAAACTTAAACCATATTTTAAGCTAAAGAAACTAACACATTTCGCAAGATGCCATCAACCCTGGGATTTGTGTTGCTAAATAATTAATATCTTCCAGCCTTAATCTTGTTGTTGTGATCTTCTGGTCACCATGACTACTCCGTCAGTGGTTAAAGTAACTTTGACTTGTGTTGCACTTTGCATCCCAATAGAAATGGAGCGTGGACTCCCTGGACCTCCTGGTCTCCCTGCAGCACCAGCTGTGGCATTGGCTTCCAGGTCCGCCAGCGCTCCTGCAGCAACCCGACGCCTCGCCATGGAGGACGAGTGTGTGTGGGTCAGAACCGTGAAGAGAGGTATGCGTGCACACACTCACACACCTAAGTGTTTAAATATGCTTTCACACACTGGTTCAAGCAAATGATTTCTGCACATACATGTTTGGGCTCCTGTGCACATGAATGACAAGAGAAAAGCCATTTCGCTTTATATTTTCCAATCTGCAGTTAGGAGCTACTGTATGACTTTGACTTTTTCTTTTCTTTTTTTCACTTCTGTCCAACTTTGTGACAGCCAATTAAGGAATGAGTGGGATAGGCCTGTGCTTGGGTAATTATCTGGCTTTCACACACATGCACACACACACAAAGTCTACGTTTTGAAGCTTTGCAAGCTTTGTCATAGAATAATCGCCTTTTTAAAGATGTTTGTGCAGTTTCTAAGCAACCCTCAAAGCTTGAAAAAAATGTTTTTCAAGGAGAAAGTATGTGAAGAAGCACAGCGAGTCATACAAAGCAGACCAGGTTAAAAAAAAAAGGTCAGGATATGAGTATTCTTAGTTTTGTTCATTTCTCAATTTATTCTGCTTATCTGAAATGTTGGTGTTTGCCAATTCAAAGCAGGACTGAGAAAAGCTTTGACAGCATCCATAGGGTTTAAAAATTAAACTACAGAGGTTATATTACAGTATATCACTTCCTAATAAACTGAGGCATTCTCCTTCTGCGCCCATAGTGTCTGTGTTTTCCTCCACCTCCTGCAGTTATCCAGAGGTGGAGCTAGTAAAAGTGCATATAAATACATTTCAGAGAGGAAAGGACAGGAAAGAGGAGAAATAAACTGTTACCAATTGTTACCATGGCAACAGAAACAGCATCACCATGGGCAGGTAATTGGATACAGCCTTCAAGGATGAACCTTATATTACATTCTTTTTTCTCTCATTTCTCTGCACTTTTTCATTTCCCCTCTCCTTCCACTAACCTCTCATTTTCTTACTCACTTGTGATCTTGGTGAAAACGGACTGCTCCAGCACAGTCCTGAAGGAAATGCATAGAATGACAAACACAGTCCAGTTACTCACAAACCACACCAAAAATTGTTGGCTGGCACAAAAAAACACAGAATGCTAGAAGCTGGTTTTGCCACCCCCTCTTTTTCTCATCTCAGCTTTAATCTCCTTTGTTTAATCTCCCTCCCCTGCTCTTGGTACTCAATGATGTAAAACACCTTGGGCCAGTTAGGGGCCAGCTGTGAGGGCTGGCAATGGAACTTTGTTAGTAAGGAGTGAGAGAAGAAGAGTGTTTGTGTGTGTGTATGTGTGAAAGAGAGAGCGAGTGAGACAAAAGGCAGAGAGCTAGAAAGAGAAAGAGCTAGAAAGAGAATATGTGTTAACAGATAAATTATGATGTTGTCAGTGCAGGTCTGCCTGAGGGAGATAAAGATAAGGTGGCGATGCTAGAAATTGTTTGTTTGTGTGTGTGTGTGTGTGTGTTCAATATGAGAATACCCAGGTGTGTCAGGAATGTATATTACTAGTACAAAATGGAAGAAGCCTCTGTTTGGATGTTCAGCCCATGTGGTATGAAGGTAACATCTTTCATTCAAGCTTTCATCTGTATGGCTTTGAAAAGGACCAGCATTTATAGTATCAGCTTTCAAACAGTGAAAAGCTTTTATTTTACAGGGCACATGCCTCCTTTCAGAGGTGCTAGGGTCTGCAATAAGCCTCACTACAACCTCTGTTCAGATTCATGGAAAGAGGTTCTATTCAAGTATGCACAAATAAGATGTGAGCGGTATCCAGTACACAGCACATCACATATTTATAAAAACTAAAATGATTCAAAAGCCAAAATTACACTTTGTTTTTGTCCCCTTTTGGCAGTTCTTTTACCCCACAGGTTTCCATTAGGTTTGGTTCTGATTCTTTGCAGCAGGCAAAGCTTTGTTTTAACCTCTGGACTTAAATCTGCCTGGTTAATGCCTGAATTTAAGATCCTTCTGTTGGTGTTTCCCTTAGCACACTGACATTGTCCATACTGTGTAGTCAGCCTATAGTCTCATCAGCTCAGTGTGTTTGTAGTGAGAAGAGAAAAGCTAAGTTAAGATGGAATGAAGCCAATAATTAAAATATGTATAATGATGATTTGAAGCTCTAAATCTGCTTTGTATTGATCAAAGCATTTTTTTTTTTTTTTTTTTTTTCTTTGTGCTGTGGAGCAAGTGGGCGGAGGTGTCTTTGTACAACCCTGCAAGCATGGATGGAAATGTGTGTGTGTGTTTATACAGCTTTCTTTCTTTGCTCAGACACGTGTAAGATTGTAATCCACACTCTTCCTCTCTTCTCCACTCACCTCCTCCCTACTGTATTATCCCAATGCAAGTGTCCAAAAAGGTAGATCACTGCTCTGAGGATTTTTAACAGCCAGGGTATACAGAGCATTTGATTTACCATAGTATAGTATTTGGGAATAGTACAATGGAAATATTGAGCCTGAGCCTCTGGAGTAAGATATAAAGTTAAAGCTATTTTAGCACAAGAAGAATCAAAAGGCAGCCATGTGCCAAAACACAACAAAAAAGCAATAAAAACAATTTAATAGGATGCTTAAAAGTTATAAAATAAATTATATGGCTCTAATAGGCCTGGCAATTGTCTGTCGTTATTGTATAATGAAGACTGAGTAAGTATTTTAGACATTGCAGTAATCCTGTCTTGTAAAACGATGTAATTAGAGATGATGCATGCGTCTTTGTGGCTTTTTTAATAGGTTGTGTCAATGAATTATGCAACATGTTCATTATGATTTCAGATGGAATTTTCTTGAATGTACTTTCATGCAACACTGGCAGTTAGACCATATACTGTACTTCTCTGGTGACACGTTCTATTCTGACGTTCAGACTCACACCGCCCCATGTTCTCTGCATGCCATGTCTGCATCAATGAGATGCAGTAAATTGGTTTGTAAAAGTGTTTTAAATGAGGTTTCCACAGTTCTGCAGACTTCCCTGTGTTGTGGTGTGGACTCTCTCTGCAGCTACCTTAGTTCAGTGGCAAGTTTTCAAAACATACAGTACTACATACATGACTCAGCTGTATGCAGTATTCAGTTGTATTCAGTATAAATCAAGTTTTATTGTCAAAACCTCCATAATACCCTACATCATCTCTCACATTTAAATCCAGTAGCTGCACTAAATCTTTTTTTTTTTACTTTAACAACAGATTAAGTCACTATGTGCAATAATTTGCAGATAATTATCTAACTCAACAGGTCCCATCTGATCTTGTATTTTTTTGTAACTTTCAGCTCTTTATTACAGTTTTGGAGCCTGCAAGTGTAATGTTTCTGTTTGGTCTCACAGCTCTCATCAGCCTCCTTTTCTAACAACAACAAGCAGCTGAGAAGCTCTAATAAACCCGCTGTACACTACCAGCCTAGCACCAAATGGTCTGCAGATAATGCTAGTGACTAGCTGATGAACACAGTGGAACATTTAGCAGCTATACTGCAGCCAGATACTATGTTTCTCTCATGTGAAAACAAAACAGAGTTAAACTTCAGGAAAAGTCTGAAAAAGTTATGAATTCAATACTATTCAAGCTATGAATGAATACTAATAAACTGGGGTATAAATGACAATCAATTCATGTACTTAACTAAGAACTGTGGACTGTTTTTTTTGTCATTCTGTAATATGACTGCAAGAAAGGTATTAAGTTAGCCTACATCATATAATGGATTTAAATAAACTTTAAAAGTCTTGCATTTGATTTGATTTGATTTATTCATTCAAGCATGTAAAGCAGTTGATATGTCAACACATGTAATTTCACACATATCCAACAATAATAATCTAATATCAATTTACTTAAACCTAGTACATGCTTGAACGAAGTAGGAAGAAGTTAGACTTATCTAGTCCTACCCCATGACATCATCTTACAACTTTTAAATCCTAAGCAATATCTCTACATAAATAATTATCCTCTACACCACACAAGTAATATACTACAGAATTATTACAGAGTGTTAACATTCTACATAATTACATCCATAGATAAGTATCTTCTACGCTACACAAGTAATATACTAAAGAATTATTACAGAGTGCTAACATTCATACCCCACACCCACAATGTTCCATCTAATTAATCATTAAACCTGTTCTTGCATATATCTTGATTGACACATACCTTTATACTTATGTTTAAACTCATAAATTCTATTACTATTTTTTATGTCCACATTTAAATTATTCCATAGTTTTACCCCACTTATGGAAAGACAATCTTTTTTTGGTTGTACGTATAGCATGAATTTTTAAGTTTAACTGACCCCTTAAATTATAATTTAAGTATACTCTGGTATAAACCAGAGTAAATGTTAAACATTTGTACAGTGGTCTCAAATGGATGTTAATGTTGCATTGTGTATTCTGGATACACAACTGTTTGCTAACACGCTGTCTCATAGCAGCTGTAGAAGTTACTAACACTGTACAGTAGGTCATTATTGTGTTTACATCTTGTTGCACTGAGTTAGATGACAAGGACTGACTGACACATGGAAATATGAAACTACAGCCAGTATTTAGCAAAATAGAGTATTATATTAACCTCAGATACCCCATGTGTATGTAGTCATCTTGGCAGGACTGAACTTTGGTGCAAATGCAAACAGCTCAGATGCTTGAGTGGTTAATTCATTTTGAAAACCGTGAATGTTAATATTTGATGTTTTTCATGACTTCTGTAATTTTTTTTTCTTTTCACTATGATATTGGCTGGCTGACTTTTTTCTTATATGCTGGTTGTGTGTTTTTTTTTTTTTTTAAGAGGATTTCAGTCTGATTGCACTCAGTACAGAAACATAGTCATCCCCTGCGGTCATTGCTTTTCTTTCCCAGGTACTGTAATGAACACCTGCCCTGCCCACCTCATGTCTACTGGTCGGCCTGGTCGGCATGGGAACGCTGCACTGTGCCTTGTGGTGGAGGTATCCAGTCACGACACAGAACCTGTGAGAATGGCAACGACTGTCCCGGGTGTGGTCAGGTATGTCACACAAAACAATAGCTCTCACATGTACCATTCTTCTATCGCTCTTCCTCTCAGTCTATTCATCATTTAAGAACTCAGGCTGAGCCATTTGATACGATGAACAATGAGCAGTGATGAAATTGGAACATCTAATAAGACCAAATCCCCTGGCTGTATTTATACAGTGGCAGCAATCATCAGATTTATTACCAAGACCAGTTTAATACCACACACATACAGTAATCACTCCACACATGAATAGGTTTATTTTCTGCCACACAGCTTTCTCCAAACAGGGATGATGCAAGAAGTGTTGACATGCAAGTGTTCTCTTTGTTGACAATGATGTGATGTTCGTGTTATTTCTGTAGCTATTTTTGCGCAAATACACACACACACACACACACACACACACACACACACACACACACACAATCCTTCATCCACAATCCTGTTAAAAAATTAGAGAATGAACATGAAAGCCATAGCTTCTCATGTCCCTTTTGGAAATGGATTAAAGAATATGGGTCAGGTCCTTGTGGATGCATGGGGTTCTTGAAGTGTGTTTGTGTTTGCTTGTTTGTTTGTGTGTTTTTTTTGTTACCATTTTTGGTAGAAGATTTGAGTCTTGGTTTGAGGGCAAAGCTGATGCTTAAACCTGAACATCTGGTTTAGACTTGGGTTTTAGAATGAAGATTATAATTCGGCTTACACATATAGCCTATGTACTGCACTGCATCACTCATGCTGCATGTGCATTTTAAACTTTTTTTTTTATTCAGCCAAACTGCTGAAAAAGCATTTAACGACCCAAATCACATTTAGCTGAAAAAGCACATCCCACAGGTTGTGTAATGACCCATTGTAAAGCAAAATAATACACTGCCAGCTAAATGAAACTTCCCACATGAGGCCTTGTAACCTCAAGAGCACATATAGTATCTGATAATTGCCAATGACACATTAGTAGCTGCAGAATACCCAAATGAAAAGACGGATCTCACATTAAGGACCAATTTAGGAGGCCCAATATATCATCTACTGCAGCATGGTCCTACCTACCCCCTCACTCACTCATACACACACATTTCCCTCAGATGACAGCTGTCTTACTTCTGTCATTACAAAGCGACTGTAAATTTCACTGAAACATTTGGGAAGGTGGCAGCATTCCTAAAGGAACTCTGTTCAAAAAAGGATACTAGTGGTGAGCATGAGGGAATTTCAATTCCCTATCACTTATGTATCCACAAGGGAAGGCCTGTCTTTTACTGGAGATGAGGGAGGGCTGATTGAGCACGAGATGTGAGAGAGTGTTCTTATTGCTGTCTGGTAGGAAGGAAGAGACATACTAGAAAGAGCTGAGTCAGGTCAGGGGAAAAGGTTAAAAGACCATGTTGTATAAATTCTGTGGTTTCTCTGTCTCATTCAACCTTTTTCTTCCTTTTGGCACTTTCACTGATCCTCTTGGACTTTAACTTATTGTCCCTTTGTGCTTGTTTGTTTCCTCATCACCTCCTTTTCTTCCACCACTCCAACATGGATGTAATTGGCTGTCTCCACCACCAGAGCTGTAATTACATGCAGACTTAACAGACACCTTCTTCGTCCTGAGAAAAGGGTTTATTTGGACAGCTAGACTGACTTGTATCATGGTTGCATATTTATTCAGAGCAAAAACAAAAAAAAAAACACATTTTCTACCTTTCTCTGAAGCTCTGAGCAGGTGCTTAATTGTATAGCTGCTAATGTCTTAGTGCACCCCTAAAGAGGTGCAGCTTAAGTTTTCAAGAGAGCTTGCATCCACCTTTCCATCATGGGAATACTTTCTTTTAATTTTCTTTAGCAGCAGGGTGGCGGCTCACCGCTGGTCTGTGTAGATAAACTGCTCCGTATTAAGGGATCTCTGGTCAGTCCTGTGTCAGCATTCCACTTGAAACATGAAGATTAGTGGAGCTAATAACAGCAACCTCACACCCCCCCCCACACCAAAAATGAATGGAAAAAAGGGTGATGGAGGTAGATCTATTAGCCATCCATCTGTGCTCTGTTCCTCTGGACAGATCCACGTTTAATTAAACAGAAGGCGACCAGACACACACACACACACACACACACACAGATTCACACATGCAGCTTCAGTCTTCACAGCTACTGTTTTAGCCCAGACACCCTACTGAGATCTGAAAAACCAACATGGTGTATGTCTTAGATGTCAGTGCGTAGAGAGGGGTTCCATTTTGTTCCTGCTTGCAAGTTGGGAAAATATCAGGATTTGTTAAGATTCAAAGCCAACAAATCCCTTATCAAATCTTCCATTCATGTTCTCTGCTTAGTCTCTTTTGTCTCCCTCTTTACTGCAAACAGAAAATACAGTTGACAGTTTTAAACAGACATGGTGGACCAGCTTAAATGCTCTGAAGTAATCAAAACAGTTGCAAGGGGTAATGAGAAGTCCTTGTTTAAACATTTATCCACCATCCAGCATCTTAAAGTAATAACTTGTGGAATCTTTTGACAACCTGAGAAGTACATGTGCTTGGTGTTTACCATATTCTGTCACCTGTTAGATTCTGTGACCTGTAGCAGTAGCAGAGCCTTTCTGCCTCCAGGTACAGTGCATAGCACATGCAAAACATCAACAATGTATTTAATTGATACTGACTGCATGATAAAGGAGAATTAATATTATTTTCAGTGTTGTTTTTAGGTGAGCTTCCATGGCTTCTGCAGCTGCAGCACAGCCCCCAGTGAGGAACACAAACAGCCAAAGGAAGCAAGAATTAATATTATTTGCGGTGTTGTTTTTAGGTGAGCTTCCATGGCTTCTGCAGCTGCAGCACAGCCCCCAGTGAGGAACACAAACAGCCAAAGGAAGCATGAATGAGGGCACAGTTAATGAATGTCACAGAGCAGAGAGAAAATAAAACAAAGTACAACACTTCAGCTCAGAACAATATCCATGGTTTAGGTTTGGTAATTCGTTATTGTAGATTCTTTTAGTGCCAGTGTGATGCTTATCTGGTAATTGGTCCTTAAATCAAATTTAAAATGATCAATTGTAATATCATGATTAGAAAATCTAGAGTCCTAACTAAACAGTTTAAATGTGTTTTCTTACTGCACTGATACTACACTTTTGAAGCTGATATTGCTGCAGCCGCCTGTGGTCAGCTCCACGTGTTTGCCAGACATTAATAGCAAGTGTCTGTTGTTGAGTTTTTGCAAGAAATACTAACTTTTGGAACTTATTTTGAAAACTGTGCAAAGAAACATTGAAGTTGTTGATTCCCCTTTATACATATGGCCAATGCTATGCACATTCTCTAAAGTCACTGAATTGCAGAACAACAAAAATCTATTCAGTTCTTACTTTCTTGTGATTCTCTATTGATCGCTGCAGCAAAATCTTCTCCACAGGGGGCTCTCTTATAGCAGAGTCAGAGAGAGATTAGCTAACATGAAACTACTAGGGATTCAGGTCAAGGACACTTCAGTTTAAATAAAAAATGTCTCAATGCACCCTGTAACCCTGCCACCCTGAAAACTAAATGTTGCCACATGCATGATTAAAGGAACCAACTCTCCATCAACCCTGCCCTAATGTGGTCCTGTGTGTCACTGCCTTCAGCCACAGCAGTCTCATCATCAGGGAAGTAATTAGTCTCGAGGTGTTCAGTGCATTATTTTGCTGATGCAGACGGCCACATGTCTGCAACTTCATCAGTCTGAGCCCCGGTTCATGCAGCACTGCTCCATCTTTCTAGTTTCACTGTATCGGCATTACAGGTGAGAATCCCCCAGAGGAGCCGGGGAACTCTGGGCTGGAAATACAC